AAGGTCTAACACTGTGTAATACTGTACCTCTGTACCTTTAGTGCGTTTATAATTATTATTTAGTTTTATCCGTTGCACAAAAAGGATATCTATTTTTTGTAACTAGGATAAAATTAAAGGAAGCGAAATAATATAACTACAATCAAGAAAGTATCTAATTCAGATCATTAATTCGTCTAATTTTATAATTATTTATGAAATTTRAATTACCGGTAATGAAATTAATGAATTTTAATTTTTATGTTGTTCTTAGCATACATGTACCTAGGATAACGATAAAGATTATATTAATTAACACTTTTTCTAATCCTGTCTGGGTTTTTTGATACGGGCATGGGTGAAGTCAATCAGAATCTTATGATAAATATAGAATAAAATAGCAAAAAAGGTAAAAAAGAAAGATGCCGACATCTCGCTTTGATACGTAGGAAGGTCGATTGGGCAGATTTTTTGTCCCATTAGCAGTCTGCCTGGCCGATTTTTTGTCGGTAAGCCTTTAGCTCAGCAACGCACATCGGATGTCCGGGGCTCGCCCGGCATTTATTCTCGAAATTTTCCTTGTTTTCCTTTGCCTTTATTTTCTCTTGTCTTTCTTCTATTTTGACTTTTTAGTTTTTCTTTGAAGAAAAACATTGATTCTGCCTTTGAAATTTTAAAATTTATAGTTATATCAACTTGTGAGTGGGGACCTGTACTCTGCGAACAGAGGGGACCTGTAGAGTGGGGGAGATATGAAAGTGGCTAATAAATAATTCTCTGTTCCTAAAATATTCTGTAGTTTGAAATTTTAGAGGAAAAAAAGAGAGAAATCTATAGCGATCTGTTTGATCTTGGAAACTCAATCCGCCCCTCAAGCATAACCTACCCCTACCCCTACCAACTTTTATGAGGGATTTTCAACCCCCCCCCCCCCCCCCCCCCCCCTCTCCCCGGACTGCATATTTAATGAAGCGCGGTATCTGAACAACACTTGAACGCGCAAAAAGAGAGTGACACAGAAGGTGCTGAACCGCTAAGAACGTAGAAGACTTCAAATCAGAAACTTTGCGCGCTACGTCATCGACCGCGTTAACGTGGTGAACGGGTAGACAGGCGCGTAGCGTCCTATTTATGCATATATACGCACGTGCGTTAACTAGTGGACAAGGGAACTTTACAATTACTGAAARATTCACATAAAATTGAAATGCTATTATTTCAAAATTGGCCGTCGTTAGACCACTAGATCCAAAATATGTGCGTCAAGCCAAAACGTCCACGCTACGCGCCCGGTAGACACCGATTGACCGAGCTATTTCTCCCCGATCTATCTGCCTATGTGTGACCTCGCCGTCACCTTTTGCGTGTCATTTTTTTCCCTTCCTTTTTCATTTCCCTTTTTTTTCTGTGTTCGGTTTTGTGACATTTTTTTAGGCTTCTGTTGTTCCCAGCTGCGGCTAGTCAGTTGCCTTGATCGGGATAAGCTTTAAAATCATTATTCCTTTGTCATACAGTGACGCAGTTATGGAGCAGTGAGCTTACTTTTTTCGCGTTCCAACGCCCTACTGCCGATCCTCGAATCTTATAGAGCCTTTGTTGTGCCCAAACCTTTCCCGGGGAGCGGGGGTTTCAATTGACCATCTATAGTACATAATTTCAGTTAAATATTAAATGAAATATTTGGGAGGGTTATTCCCACATAGCTCCATACTCTGTGTGATTGATTTTTCAGACCAGTAAAGACAGTAAACGAGCTCGATAATTCCAGTTTCAAAATATGATTATCATTATTTAATTGTTGGAAGCTTGGAAGGAAATATTATTATTATATCAATATTATTATTATTATTTATCATATAATTATCTATGAAATACCAATATTTCTCCATTTCGTAAAATTGATATTTTCACTAGTGAAAATAACACATTCGAGGTTTCTCTATATGATGCAAGTAAGAAAAAAGGTATTTTACGACATAATTTGTTTTCATATAAAAATTATATGATAAATAGAATATTACATGTTCGCTTGGGGATACGAATTTTATCTTCTCGTGTTGAAAATCTCTCAGTCGTTCGCTACGCTCACTCGTGAGAGATTTTTTCAACACTCTAAGCTAAAATCTGTATCTTCGCGCGCCCATGTAATATCCTCTTGGAGAGTATTGAAAATATGTAGTAAATGACCGTGCCGTGGACTGGAACGAGTATCCTTTTGCACCCTGCCGCCAAGCGCCAGGTGCACCGACCATGCATTTCCGTCTCCCGTTCTACAGTTACGTCCTTACTATAAATAACTTTTGTTTGCTGTATTTCGAACGAAAATGAAAACGTTTGCAAAGAATTTTACTTTCTAATCCACATTATATGCGATGTATTTTATATCTTGCATCAAGACAGTTTTGATTCTAGTGTTTTTGTTTTCAACTCATGAACTTCTTAGTTTAGTTTCCTCTTCGTCAAAACACGGAGACAACCCTGTGAACAAACCATGGAAATCAAGACAGATTCTACAGTTCTTGAATGACACACGCAAAAACGTTGAGGTATGGTGATATCAAGCTTATGTTGTTGAAAGTATATAAGCTTAAGCTTAAGTATTTTAGTAATACGCTGAGAAGCCATAAGAAGGGAGATGGTTTGGGAAGATCGAGAAAGCTGGGCTTATAGTAATACGCTGAGAATCCATAAAAGCCAATGTCTATAGTAAGCCCAGCTTCCTCGATCTTCCAAAATCCATCTGATTTTCACTCCCTTACCTGCCTCCTTTTGCTTTCCTTATATTTATAGATGATATTTATAGATGCGGCCTTAAACATTGGGTGGTAGAGGAGTTCCAGTGACCTCTTTAAGCTTATCATAAGTTTTCAGAGGGATGATAAGCTTAATTATTTTAATCAAATATTTTCAAAAACCATATTTTTGCAATCCAAATTCTTGGTTTGCAACCATCACGTGATATTCTAAAAAAGCTATTTAGAGGTTAAATTAGCGAAATATTATTATTGTCCTTAAGAGAACATCTAAATTAAAGGATCATCACGAACTTTTGAGCCAAAATGATGCTTTTTAACAGAAATACGAGCGATCGAAAATTGGTAAGAATGTATGGGATTTTCACGGGTCAACGCGTTTTAGACCGGTCAAGAAATACCTACAAAAAAACTTTGTTTTAAGATCCAAATAAATGTTTTATGTCCAATTCCAAAAACAGCATATAATTCGCAACATATATGCAAAGTTTGAAGTTAAACTGCGATTTTGTAGCAAAACTATAAGCATTTGAATACGGTCTTACTTTACAAGGGAATGTATGGGGCAGCCATGTTGGAAGACGACGGCATATCTTCCAACATGGCGGATGATACTTTAAAGGTCTGAGAAGAAGGCAAAATTGAATATTTTCGATCATTTTCTACAATAATTTACTTAAAATGGATACAAGGATACTATATAAGGCCAAATATCAAATTGATATCAATTTTTTTCATTCGAATTGGATACGTGACTGCTATTGCGTGACACACATTCAAGCGTAAATATCTCGGGAACTAAAAAACGTTTTTAAACCAAACCTTGGCAATGTCTTTCGATAATAATTATCTGTCATATATATAACTGGCGTTTCTTTTAGATCTAATTTTCGTATATCGATCTTTTGTTGACGTCATGTGCAAACCAAGAATAGGCATATAGAGGGACTGGTCATAATTTATATGGGGGGAGGGGTGGGGGAAGGGGTGGGGGAGATAGTTCAAAGGGTGGGCAGGTATCAGGTATAAATTTCTAAACAAATGGGATGGGCC